CCTCGCGCTATACTCCGATCGAAACTTGGCCATGGATGGAGCGGTTGATGAGCTCCACTGGTGCCTCGGTGGCAGGTCTCTTCCTATGGGTTGGGTTAAATCAGGCTGGCAACCGGCTACCCCGGGGCCTGGTCCTACGGATATAGTGATGACACCTCAGAACATCCTTATTTTACTCTGATAAAAAAAACAAAAAAAAAAAACAACATAATATTGTTTGTTTTGAGCATATCCTCACGGCTTTGTGCATAATATTGTCCGCTTTGGATGTACCTTCACGGCTTTGTTCTTTCCTTAGGAAAAGGGCTTGTGCTAATTAAAAGGAGATGTGGGATGGTGAATGAAGCAACCAACCCCCCATTAGCACAATATTATCCCCTTTGGGCGTATCCTCACGGCTTTGTTCTTCCTTTAGGAAAATGCCTTGTACTAATTTGAAGAAGTTAGTCAACTTATATAGTGGAGTATGGTTTCCTCAATGAACGATATGGGATGGACACCCATTGGGGTCCACAAATGTTAATTTAAATTTAGTGTAATGTTTAAATTAAGTATGATGCGAACAATATATGTTTTGATTTTAGCTACCAACTTCCCAAATCAGCCATTAAGAGTGTAACTTGGGCAAGACTATTGAGTGACCCTAGTCCAATTCAAAAAAAGAAATAGAATTTGAACAGTATAATTCCAAATTTGGTGAGGGGCTTTGTTAAAATTTAGGAAAAATTATTTTTAAAAAAATAATTCAGGGTTTGATCATTAAAATAAAATATATATGGCCTAAGAATCTTTTGATAAGTCATTTCTTACGTTGGTAACTTATTTAATTATTTGTTAATTTTACAATATTTTTACCATCTAAAGCTTTAAGGTGCCATTTGGTAACACTTAGGTTTTCAGTTTTCTGTTTATATTTACAAAAATTTAAAAAACTCAAATAAAAACTTGTTTGGTAAATTTTTTATTTATAAATCAGTGGTCTCAGTTTATAAATTTGGCGAAAAGATGTAAACTCAAAAAATGCGTTTCCGTTTTGAGTTTTTAGTTTTTTTTTTTTTACCACCCAACACTAGCCACCACCCGCTACCATTTTCCACCACCGTCTTCCGCCACCAACATTTATAATTCGCTTTTGATCCAATTTCAAATGTTTAACGGTTTGATTATAATTTTAAATTTCTTTAAATCATAAAAATCAATTCGATTTTTAATTTACTCTAATACTAGACATCGGTGTAAACCCCTAGAATTTATGTACAAAGTAGCTCAATTTTTTTTTTTTATTTTGGACTGATTTGCAACTCAACACTCAATCGAGAGATCGAGATCGATCGAGAGAGAGAGAGAGAGCGAGCGAGGAGGGGGGCTCAATTTTTTTTATTTTGGACTGATTTGCAACTCAACACTCAATCGAGAGATCGAGATCTCGAGAGAGAGAGCGAGCGAGCGGGGGAGTCAGGAGCCTCTCCTTGCAAGCTTGTGCTTGCGTCCGTCCTTGCAGGCCTTCGGGTCTACTTTTAGGCCCAATTTTGATAATTCGAACCGTTTTGGAGGCCGGAAAATGTAGGGATGTTATTGGTATTTTGGTAAAGGTGCCCAATTGCCCTTCCGTGCTAAATGCCAGTAAATGTGAGGGGATGGTTGAAATGAATGATGGGTGTCTATTGCCCCTTCGTGCTCGGTGGTCGAAAAATGTGGATATGCTGGGATCGCTATAACCCGCCACCCGCCAACGTCACCCATCCACCCACCACCACCCGCTACCCACCACCCACCGTCACCACTTTCCACCACCGTCTTCCGCCGCTACTTGCCACCATTTGTCATTTCTCACTCTTTTTTATATTTTTAAATTTTTTTAAACATTTTGTCAATTACCAAACGTATTTGCAGTTTATGTTTTTCTAAAAATAAATAAAAAATAAACAAAAATCAGTTTATAAAATTTTTGTAAATATAAACTGAAAACGTAACGTTACCAAACAAATAGTAAACTTTTTATTTGTTTTCAATTTAAATTATTTGCATGTTTCTATTAAGTAAAATAGATAGAACAAAAGATATTTTAATCATGTTAGTCAATGAAAATGGATATTTCAGACGTATTATGTATATCTATATTAAGGCCTCGTTTGGGAACAGGCCAATTTAGTAATTTTTTGGCTATTTAACTAAAATATGAGCTAAAAAAAAATAGTATGTTTGGGATGACTTTTTGACTTTTTACGAATAGATGTGTAAAGAGTAGAGAGAAAATAGAATTTTTGATTTTTTTGTATGGATTGTTGGCTTTTTGACTAAAAACAAGGGTTCCCAAACGAGGCCTAAATTTAATAATTAAAATATTGTTTTTGTTGATTTTCGTTAACGAAAATAGTTGGCTAAAATATGAGCTAAAAAAAACTAGTATGTTTGGGATGATTTTTTGACTTTTTACGAAAAGATGTGCAAAAAGTAGAGAGAAAAGAGAATCTTTGACTTTTTGGTATGGGTTGTTGGCTTTTTGGCTAATTTAGTAACTTTTTGACTTTTTGGCTAAAAACGAAGGTTCCCAAATGAGGCCTAAGTTTAATAATTAAAATATTATTTTTGTTGATTTTCGTTAACGAAAATAGATAAATAATTAAATTAAAAATATTAAAATTTAAATTGATAAAATTAAAATATCAAGATTTAAATTCGGGTTTAATTTAAACAAAATGTTCAGGCAAAGTCAAGCTTAATTAAGTTTGAACAAATTCCCTACATTTTAAGTTTTTAAGTTGAATTTGAATAAAATCAACCATATTGAACTCACCCGAGTGGTAGTGGCCTTAGGTGGTGTGTGGCAAGTCGATTTGTGACTAAAATAGTCACAAAAAATAAAATAGGTTATTTTAGTCATAACAAATAAAACATCACATCTAATCCATAATCATTACACTATTTTCTCACAAAAAATGTCAAAAAAACTAAAAAACTCTTCCCAAACCAAGCTTTTCAGCACAGGCTAAAATAATAAAAAAAATCAAAAAATCAAAAAGTCAACCCACTTCTTACTTAGGCCTATAATGAGAATACAAATATGAGTACGCGATAAAAAAAAATAATGCATTAGATTATCTGTAACCCAAATTTAAATTTGATACAAATTTAAATTTGATAAAAATTTAATAAAAGTGGTGTTCTAACTTTTTTAGGTCCGTTTGGGAAGCTAATCTTGAGGTTTTTTTGGTTATTTTAACCATAAAAAATAAAATAGGTTTTTTAACTCAATAAAACAAACATCACATCCAACTCATAATCATTACATTCATTCTCTCACAAAAAAGTCAAAAAAGTCAAAAGTCCTTCCCAAACCAGGCTTTTTAGCCTCAGGCTAAAATAGTCAAAAAAGTCAAAAAGTCAAAATGCTAACCCACTTTCCAAACGAAGCAATATCAAATTAGTTTCAAATGAAAGGAATATTATCAAATCTCGCAGGTGACTATTGATAAACGACCAGATGGATGACCGGCTGGCTAACCGATGAATGACCAAATTGGGGAAAATTTAATGAAAATTTACACTAAGTCGGACGACTGTACAGACATTCTTTCAATCATCTTCTTAGTCGATCAGTTGTTTAATGAAAATTAAAAATTTAGCATCAAAACGTTTGGTATTAAATGAAATTTTTAATTAAATCTTTACTCAAATTTAATAATAAAAAAAAAGTAAAAAGTTGAAGATACTCTTAGGGGGTGTTTTGTGTGGATTATTGTAAGTTAAAAACTGATAATCAAAAAGCTGTAAGCAGAATCACCTTTTTCCCAGTTTCTAAATAATTAGTTTTTCTCAGTTTATTAAGCTATTTTTACTTAAAAAGCTATAAGCAAAAACTGTATCAAACAGTCTGACGCAGATTCTCAAATTAAAACAAGCTATAATCACCCCCTATAGGGGGTGTTTGATTGAGCTTTTCTAAGTCAACTTATAGCTTTTAGTTTTGGAAAAGCTATTTTGAATTGTTTGGTTAAACTTATTTTAAACAACTTCTGATTCTAACAATTTATTTTAACTAAAAAAAACTGATTCTGAGAAGCTGTTTATCCCTTTCTTCTGATTATCAGCTTCTGCTGTGGACATGTTAATTTACCGTTATACTCTTAGATTTTTTTATTTTTTATTTTTTTAAAAATAAAAAAAGACTCAAATAGACTATAGATTATTATTATTATTATTATTATTATTATTATTATTGAGAAATGTAGATAAGTAGTGAATAACAAAAATAAAAGTTAATTGAAAAAATTACTTCACAGTTTATTTAACAAACACTACTCAACAACTTAAATTTATAATTCAACAACTATACTAAATAAATTAATAATCCCTAATTAAAGTCATCATTTATAATATAATCTATAATCTGCACCAAGCGGGGTCATAATCACCAAACGGGGTCATAATCCACAACAAACACCCGCTTAGTACACCAAAGATTGAACTGGTTGCAGATTATTATTATTATTATTATTATTATTATTATTATTATTGAGAAATGTAGATAAGTAGTGAATAACAAAAAATAAAAATTAATTGAAAAAATTACTTCACAGTTTATTTAACAAACACTACTTAACAATTTAAATTTATAATTCAACAACTATACTAAATAAATTAATAATCCCTAATTAAAGTCATAATTTATAATATAATCTATAATCTGCGCCAAGCGGGGTCATAATCACCAAACGGGGTCATAATCCACAACAAACACCCGCTTAGTACACCAAAGATTGAACTGGTTGCAGGTAAACCCTACACCGCCTGTTAATGCATAAAATAAAAATTAAAAAAAATTGAGTAAAAAAAAAAAAAAAAAAAGCAGTGGCATGAGGAGTCGAAAGCAAGCTTTTCGCCCCCGCGTAGATGCCAGCTGTCAGGCCATGGATTCCGTGATTGCGTACATCATGGACCACCGTTAGCCCCCCACACACATATACATACACACACACATACATACATACATACATACTCTCTCTCTCTCTCTCCTTCGCAGCAGAGCAGACTCACATTATCATCGTCATCATTCTCATCCTCCTCTCTCTCTCTCTCTCTCTGCACTCGCCATTATAATTTGTTTGAACCTATATAGCATTGTACATAGAGAAAGTGGAGAGAGAAGAAGTGTAGAAGTAGAGGAAAGTAAAAGATGAAACAGGGCTCGCAATCTACAGTAGAAGCGAAATTCGATTGTAATTATTCTTCTTCTTCTGATTGGAAGATCTGAGGAACAATTTGTGTGGGAATGGCGAAAACTGGGGTTTTCGAAGGCGATCCGGCCATGGCCGCCAAGGCGAATGAGTTGAAGAAGGATTTGCAGAGGCTGGTCAAGGCTATTCTCGAAGATGACGACGCCAACGAAAATTTCAATGCCGAGGCCATCGATCGAGCCACTCAGACTCTACTTGCATTGAAGGACTTCAAGTCCAAGAGATCAGTCTCTCTGAAACTGAGCGAACACTTGGCTTGTCCTGAGGAGTTTCGATGCCCTCTTTCCAAGGAGCTCATGAGAGATCCTGTTGTTGTCGCCTCTGGTCTGGTTAGTTCTCTTCCAATTAGGGTTTTTTTTTTTTAATGTATATAATAATGTATGTATTTTCGTGTGCTGCTTGATCAATTTTGAGGTAATTTTTATGGTGAATTTGGTTCTTGTTGTTGATGCATATGAAATTTGTGGACTTTGAAGTGGTAATTCTTTGATGGGTGAAGATTTTGTTATTCCTTTTGCTCTGTTCTTGGTAATTTAATTTTTTTTTTTGGTTTGTTTTCAAATATCTTATTTTGTTCTGATTTTGTGACAGAAGCTCTGTAGCTGGGAATGTTGAATTTATGTTTTTCGTCTGTAGCTTTTGTTCTTTTCTCTTATTGTACTATCTTATGATCAACCCTTCATCACTAACCTTTTAGTTTCAATGATAGATGCGATAAAAATGTAATTTTTTTTTGTTCTTTTACAGAAATTAGTTGTCGGACCCTCCTGAAAAACTCTATTAAACTGTAAGGATTTGTGTTCTCCATTTATCCATTGATACTATGATGTTCATTATTAGTATTAATTTTTCATCAATTGAAAATGCTATACTAGTTTGCATTTTTGTATGTTTATTCATTCCCTGAATGTCTTTGTTATGGTTGAATTGGTTTGATTTTGCTAACTTTTTTCTTCTTCTTCTTCTTCTTCTTCTTCTTCTTCTTCTTCTTCTTTTTTTTTTTCCCTGATTTAACAGACTTACGATAGACCCTTTATCCAGAGATGGCTAAAAGCGGGGCACCAAACATGCCCTCAAACTCAACAAGTCCTCTCGCATACTCTCCTCACGCCTAATCTTTTGATTCGGGAAATGATATCACAATGGTGCAAAAATAATGGGACACAATTACCGGACCCTACTCAATATTCCAATGAGGATGGGATAACAGAAGCAGATCGAGACCATTTCATTTCTTTGCTTGAGAAGATGTCTTCAACTCTGTCCGATCAGAAGGAAGCTGCAAGAGAGTTACGATTGTTGACAAAGAGGATGCCTTCTTTTCGGGCACTATTTGGAGAGTCTGTTGATGCAATACCTCAACTGCTCAATCCGCTCTCTCAAAGCAGGTCTCAAAGTGACATTCCCACAGATCTTCAAGAAGACTTAATTACAACGGTTTTGAATCTTTCAATCCATGACAACAACAAGAAGTTTGTCGCAGAAACCCCAATGGTTATTCCTCTTCTTATGGATGCATTGAGATCAGGAACAATACAAACGAGGACCAATGCAGCTGCAGCCCTCTTCACATTATCAGCCCTAGACTCTAGTAAGTCGCTGATTGGGAAATCCGGTGCCCTGAAACCACTTATAGAACTTTTAGAAGAAGGGCATCCACTGGCTATGAAAGATGTTGCCTCAGCTATTTTCAACTTATGCATCATCCATGAGAACAAGGCAAGAGCAGTGAGGGATGGTGCTGTGAGAGTGATCCTAAAGAAGATCATGAATCGTATGCATGTTGATGAATTGTTGGCTATCCTTGCCATGCTTTCAGGCAATCCGATGGCTGTTGAGGAAATGGGAGAGCTTGGAGCGATTTCTTGTTTGCTTAGTATAATCAGGGAAAACTCATGTGCGCGGAACAAGGAGAATTGCATTGCAATCCTCTATGCAATTTGTTTCAATGACCGAACCAAGTGGAAGGAGATGAGAGAAGAAGAGAAAACTTATGGAACAATCTCTCAACTTGCTCAAAATGGGACTTCAAGGGCAAAGAGGAAGGCCAGTGGCATTCTTGAGAGACTGAATAAGGCTGTCAATCTTACCCATACCGCTTGATGAGGTCTCTCGTGCAGTTTTTCCAAGCTCAAATTCTGTAAATTCTATGTCCTCGAGCATTACAATCGCATGTGGCTCTCACACATCATTCTCAACCTCCATGTAAATTATATTTCCCCCCTGGTGTTTTACCGTTGCTGTGAATAATTATGATGCAAGCTCTTGTAAGATTCTCTCTCTCTCTCTCTCTCTCTCTCATTGGGCAATAATTCATGCACATGGCTCACTAAATAGATTGCTTGAAAAAATAGATGAAGCAGAGCATAGTTGCTCATATACTTGTTTGTCAGCAATGATTTAAATTTTGTATTATTTTGTCTTCTATTATTTGTCGAATAAATATTTGCACATGGTTTTTAGTAGATTGCTTGAACTCTACTTGAAGTAGCAATGGTGACCCTTTTTCTTGTTTTGATAGCAACAATCCCTTGCATGTACTAATTTTTTACTTTTTAATATAGATGTTCCCTTTTGTTTTTTTGTCTTCACTACACATTCAATGTGAGTTAATTTTGGTGGATAGATATTTGAATTTTTATTTACTTGTAGCAGAAAAAAGGGCTGTAATAGTCATTGGAACATTTTACGTGGCTTTTTATGACTTGGGAACAAAGCCAAACCTTGTCTTTGTTGCTACTTGGAATGATTTTATGAATAATTGAATTGAATTGAATGAATGGCTGAGAATTGGGTTGGAAATGCAATTGGGAAAAATGTGCCCATATTGAATGAATGGTACTCTGATATATGGTGTTGTGGGCCTGTGGCCCGTCCACTCTTTTGTGCAAGTCTTCATTGGAACAGTTACTATACATCCTGTGACCACCAAGGTTTTTGTTTTTCTTGTTTTTGTCTTTTGTCTTTTGTTTTTATTTTTACTCTACCTGATGTGGGCATGGAGGTTGCATGCCCTCTGAAGTTTTTACATAATGCCATATGTCTACATGTAGAAAGCGAAGGGGAAAAAAATGGCGAAATTCCTTTTGCTGATATATAGCAGGCTTAGCAGCCCTCTACAAAAGGATTGAAGAATAGAGGGTTGATTGGTTATGTGACAAGTGGTAATTTTGATATATGCAGCAAACTGAGATGTTGTCAAGGCACAGTTCTTGAAATTTGTCAGGTACTTGCAGTGGTATGGTTGATCATGGTCCACACGCATGCATCTGCTACATACGGTTCTGGTTCATGAATAATACAAGCAAATTTTTTTGGACAGCTTGTAATTTTCTTGATATTGACTGCCTGCATTACATACATTCATGTTCATATATATATATATATATACACATATAAGAGTACTTCAAATTTTATTTTAACTTTAAGAGCTTTGATAGACTTTCTTCAATCATCACCCCCACACACACACGTGGCCAGTGGTGATTGAAGGAGAAGGAAAAAAAAAAAAAATAGAAAAAAAAAATTGGCCAATGGAGGGAAAGGGTCAAAGGGGTGAGAGAGAAAGGGGTCTCAAACATTTTTGCAACTTTAAATATAAATAGTTAGATTATCATTATATTATATGACCACTAACAAAGATATTAATTGCAAATAAATGGGGAGTTGCGTAGGGCATCTACTTTCTTGTTTACACGTTTTGTGGGGCATGAATTTTGTGCTCTTAAGCATTTGGCGCAGATCTAAAAGCTAATAGATTCGAAATGCTTTCCCAATCCGGCCGAAATTGGGTATATGGAAATTGAACACATTCTGGGCAAATAAGTTGAATTTACATATATTTTAAAATTTATCATTATTTTTTTTGGAAGTTTGACTGAAATTTAGCTTAATAAATTTGTTATTATTATCGAATTTATTTGAATTGTTGAGTCTTGTTCGATTAAATTTCTTTTGAAATCTACTCAAAAAATAAACAAATTAAGCTCTTTAAATTACTTAACTCGTTTACAACCTGAATACATGTATTACTATAATCTTATTTAACCTGATTCAACAAACAAATTATCTGAAAATCACACAACTGCTAGAATTTTCTCACTCAAAAAAAAAAAAAAAAAAGACGCATAATATGGGAGACACATATGTATACCTTTGATAAATTGGGCCTACAATTTGTATTAGATGCATTGCTTTATTGAGCTTTATTGTGATAAGACATGACCAAAATGACTATTCTTCATGGGTAAGTGATAATGCCAAGACAGGTCTAATCATCCATTCATTCAGCCCCTCAAAAGTTGGAACCAAATGCCTAGACTTATTGGGTGCTATGAGGCATTTTTCAAGTAGTTCCCATTTTTTACGTAATTAGCTTATAGAGTAAGATCTGTAATCTGTGTGTTTTGCCAATGTGTCAAATGATAATTGATATAAACTAATTCTCTAAAAATATTTAATAATTTCTCACTGATTAGGACTGATTTTTATTAGGTTTTAATTTTTTAGAAAAAAGAAAAATAAGAAATGCGTTTTTTTTAACAAAATATAAAGACAAATAACTTATTTAGCTAGAAGAACAAAGTAAGGGATTCGATGGGGGCAGTAGTGGGATGTTGTGGGCAGAAGTGGGAGGTGGGAGAGTGGAGAGGGAATAGGGGAGAGCTGAAGGAAAAGACAGGAAAGAGAAAGGAAAGGGAACTTTAGTAATTTTACAAAAACATAACTTCATAATTTAATTTTACAAATTTTCATGTCTATTTAAAGTATTTAATTATGATTCTCCATTCTGTATGATTACTTTTTGGTCAACCACAGTTATTTGTAATTCCTCCCCATACATATGATATGAAGTTATCCTTGAATTTGTTGCAACTTACAAGAAAGATCAAATATTGGCCAAAATACATGAAATTATGATTTGTTGAGTAATGAGAAGACAAAATTGTGATTTTTCATCCACAAATCACTCCAAAATCTTAAGACCCAAACACAATTTTAAAAAAGATATAATTTTTATATTAAAAAAAAGATTCACCCAAGGTCACCACGTCCTAGTGAAGTTTAGACACGCCGCCCCGCCTCCGACCAAGGCATCTTGAAAAGACACGCCATTCATTTAAGCACCGGAAAAACTAGTCTGCCATTGACTTTTGAGGATTGCAAATTAATTTAAGTGTAGCAATTAATTAATCATAGAAAAACCAAACAAGACCTTCAATAACTAGCAAAGCCAATACATAAAAGACATCATTGGCATTCAGGCCAAATTTTACTCAGACGAAAGGCAGTTGATTTCTATTGCCAATGAGAAGGCATTCTCTTCTTACAACATACCAAACTCATCTCAAAGATAGGTTCAATAAACTGTACAGAGTACAAGAAATGATATTAATAATAACTGAAACAATTCAAGAAGACTAATGCTACTATCTCACATATTGGACAAATGTGAAAATTACATACCGAACACGATTGCCTAATGCATCAAAATGAGAATTGAGAGGTGAAACCAAATACTAGATCATTGTTGACGACATACTATGCAAAACGATCAGCTCTTCTTGAGTTCTCTCATTGACGAAATAACTTTCAATCCATCTTGTATGCCCAACCATGTTTTCCTAGAAAGGCTTGGACTGCTTCTTTTATGGCCAAATTTGGTATCATCTGGGATTCACTAAGAGGTTCCCGTGTGATCGGATCAAACGTTCCCACCTGATTCATGGTTAAGACAGAAATCAATACATGATGAAGACCAAAATTCAACTATACAAATCAAAATCAAATTCTACCTTCTGAAGATGGTCAAGGATCACCCCCCTCTCGTATGTAATCCCACTAGGACTAATGACAGGATCACGGAAAATATCAAGCGTAATTTTACAACATAGGTAATCTGGCACCTGAAATGCACAACCACGGAAAATATCAAGAAATTATAGATTGTAACCTTTTGAGAAGGGGTAAAAGAAGCAATTAAGTGTCCCCAATGCTCACGTCTGTTGGCGTGTCAGCTTCTGCAGCCGTGCTAAACACTCGTTCTAGAGCCTCCAATTCTGCTGAATGGGCATCAGTAGCTTTATCTAAAAACCCTTCCATTTGACAAATATCGAGTAAATGTTTCTCCTTAAGAGCAGACTCACAAGCTTCTCTGAGGCATGCACAAATGAAGATAATAAAAAGCCAACAGCACGATGGACACACAAATATCTAAGGACTAAAACTACAAAAGAAATGAAGGCCTTTCAAACACAGAAGGCTTCAACACATTGAAAAAACACTTACTTCAAGCTTTGCAATTCCCAAGAACGCTTGCTAGATTCATACTCCCATTCCAGGTATTTAGCTTTTGCAAGCTCCTGCCATATCTCCTCTACAATATAACTCTTAGGGTTTGCACCCCTCCCAAGATCCAAAGCCTACAGAAGTCATTTGCATCACATTTCAGTAAGTTCTGATTCTCGTAAGAAAACATCATGCTCATTTTGTCCCAAAGCAGCAATGAACTTTCCCTTCCAAAAAGTTTTTTGTTTTTTCTGATGCTAGGGGTAACAAAGTGTCATGTTCAAAACATGCATGTTAATTTAGGAACCATTACGGAAAATTAATCACTCTAGAATAGTTCTACAAGACACTAGAGCTTGTTATGCATCGAAATAATTTCCTTCGAACTACAATAATCGGTCAGGTTTCTATTTTTTTTAATCTGTATTTTTCATCCAATTGGAGTCAAAGTAGGAGAAAGATCATACTCTTTCCAATTCCTTGATTCCTTCAGCATATTCTTCCTTCTGTAGCAATGCAAGCCCAAGCATATAGTGGGCCTGTCATGTCCAGAATGTGTCAGAACTAGGTTAGATTATAATAATTTAAAAAGACAAGTGTATAATAATCAGACAAGACATTGAACATCAGCTCCTTTTGATAAGAAGAACAAACTAAATAAACATGTAATAATGTAAACAACTAATACCATAATATTGCTCAGACAACATCTTAAAAGCACAAGCTAGCAGTAAAAAAGGTTAATACTCCTTTATGAATTGCAAATCGAAGATAAAACTCTCCTTTCTGAGTGGTAGCACAAAACTATTATGCTGTATCCCACACACTTGAGAAGACAATGCAGTGGAGGTGACACACTCCAGGTTCATGTCATGCCAGAAATACCAATAATATGCTCAGAGAGAGGAGGGGGAAAATGAAGATAAACACCGTACGATAGATCAACTCATATGTAACAAACAAGTATTTAAGTCAAAATTTTCTTGCTGAAGCAAAAATTCCAATCATAAGCTTAGCACTCATTGTTTATCCACTACAATGAAGCAACCTATTTTCATCTCCCAAAGACCATAAATAGTAAGCAGCAATGACGAGTATATATATCAAAGAAACATAGGAATTTATGGTCCTACCATGTGGCATATATGAATATACAAAGAACTAGTCTAATTATCAAAACAGCCATTATATAAGGTAATATGGCAACTCTACATCAAGGAACAAGCCACACAACAGTAGTACCGATAGCTCGTGGCAATGATCTATCAAGGTAATGTCTCAATTTCCAACTTATCAAAGCAATATCACATAGAGGAAGCATGGCAATCCCATGTATTAAGGCAGCCATCAATTACGACAACATGGTATTGCAACAACTTTCTCTTTCCAGATTGGAAAGACAAGAAAATATGGTGCTTTGAAGTCTCACTAAATAGTTAAAATCCACAAGAACTACAAATCAAGGTAACAAATCATAAATTACAGCTAAGATGTCACATTGTAAAATATGTTCAAATCTAATTCGTGAACTGATAAAAGTTTCAAAGGAAACCACCTGATTGAAGAGATTGCCAAATTTTATATTTCTAGAGGTGACAATAAAATGGGGTTTTGTCATTACAGCGGGTGTGATTTATGGGAGAAATGAGAAATGATAAACAAGCATGAATAAAGCTAAGCTGCACAAAAAAATAGTAGTAAAAAATGGTACAAAGCTATCCACAACAAGTCATAGACAAACAACCTCCACCCCTTATTTTCTAAATCTAATTGAAATTTAGTTATGGTAACATTTCTCAAGAATCTCTGTCTTATGTAAATTATACAATATGGTTCCTGTAGGTTAAGCACCTTTTCAAATGAAATATAGAACAAGAACAGTAAGTGAGTTTACACAAAAACTTTTGTGAAGGTTGAAGAAATAGTTCTTTCCTCCCCAAGGAACTTTTGAAAAGCATGTCACTGGGGAACAATCCTTTGATAATTTGGACTGATGATTACCGTGAGTTATTGCACAGCATTATAGCCTTTGAGACATAGCTATCTATAATGGCAAGCTGGTCATCAAACTTGACTGCCAATGACAATCGACCCTTGCAACATGTAATGCAATCTGAATTTTATTATGTTATCTATTATAATTAGGTGCTTTTGTACTCCTTCCTCTATTTTTTAAATTTTACAGTCCATAAATTCATTATATTTGCACCAAAAGGATTAAATCTCAGCAGCATCATCAACTAACAAAAAGCATAATTTAAAACCATGAATAAACAATGTAAAACGAGACACATATGTTTCATAAAGGTGCCATAAAAAAACATTTCTGAGTTTACAAGTCTAAAACAATCTCAATACATATCACTATGATGTCCACTAAAAAATCCATCATATATATACGTATATGTAAGTGTGTTTTGAACTGTATTAAGCTTTTGATTTCTTTTTTTTTTTTTTTTTTTGGAAGGGGGAAAGGATGTCCACCTAGAACAAAAGCTTGTGTGTGATGTTTTGTATAATTATGTGGCAAGTTATTCTACTTGCCTAACAAAAGCAAAGCAGCCTTTTGACAGATTGCCCAATTGTGGCCCTTTAAGGCCTAAGAAAAGGACCCTTCCTAGCTACTCATCTAATATCCAAGTATAAACTTCAAGTTATTACCAAGCGCGTTTGTTAAATATTCTCATTTGGTAAGATATTGTTTGTTTGCACAAATAAAGGACAGAAAAATACCAACAACTCTAAAACCAATGACCACAATAATGCAATGGAACAAGTGAGATTAGGGTGAATTCAGTACCCCTAACCTTGACAGAATTGTTATCAAGCTGAATGGCTCTTCTACAATCCTCCTCAACTTTTGTCCAATCACTATCAAAAAAATAAAAAAACACCCAAATCGTAAAGCAAAAACACAATGAATAGGATTATGAATAACACAAACAAAAGTTAATGATTAAAGTGGTAAAAAAATGAATTTGCAAGGAGGGTTTGTGTTCGTACATACTTGCGCTTGCGATGACATAAAGCGCGATTGGTCCAATATACAGGAACATTAGGGCACAAAGTAATTGCCTACAAAAATCAAATAAACTAAACAAAAATGAGAAATTTATGCAACACAAAGAACAAACCATAGACCAATAAAACTAAAAATTTTTAAAAATAAATAAATAAATAAAATCATCAATTTTTTTTTTTTTTAAAGATTGAATTTACAAATTGATATACATAGAGAAATAGGGTTGATAAAATAGAAAGATGAGATAGATGGATAGAGAAAAAGAGACCTCGGTGTAGGCATCAATGGCGGCGCCGAATCGATCTTTCTTGAAGTAGGTATTTCCATCTTGCCTGAGTTGTTCTGCTTGTTTCGACGCCGTAGCTACGGCCACAGTCGGAGCCATATTCTCTCTCTCTCTCTCTCTCTCTCTCTCTCTCGCTATATATATATATACACTTTCAAATCTCCTTCTTTCTTTCTCTCTCTAAATCGATCAATCCTACGTTTTCCAGCTGATCTCTGCCCTAATTCTATATCTAAGTATATACACACAAACACAAGACTTCGATGAATACAAGAGAGAGAAGAAGAGGAAGTAATCGAAACAGTTGCGAAACGGAGGTTGGAATTTGGAGAGGTATAAGGAATACACGATTGAGGAGGTTAAGATGGAGATTTTTCAAGTCGAAACGACGCAGGGAAGACTTCCTCCTCCTAAAGAACGACCGGTAATTAAAGGCCTAGTTAGGTGACCCTGGAATTTTATTGGCTGATTATTCTTTTTTGCCCTTTTCTTTATTCGTGTTTGCCTCTCATTAGTTGCTTTGCTATGTGGAAAATTTTACTTTTATATGTAAGGGGTATATAAAGTGTAAAATTACACTAACCTTTTTAGAGTTTACAAAAAAAAAAATGGATCAAATTCTACAAATTGAATATGATTATATTATTTTTTTTAATATTTAATGTATGTAATTTATAATTTTTTCATTAATGATTCATTAATTATATATTTTTTATATTAAAATATATATTAGTTATGTCTGTTATCTATAAACCATATATTTCTGTTAATTTTGATCTTTTAACTTTGTTAAGTTTATAAAAGTCATTATATATATATATATATATATTTTAAACTTTAAGAGTAGTCATTGTAATTTACCTAATAATAAATTTTGTAAATATTTTTTACTCATTGAGGAAATGGTTGAGATTTTGGGAGGATGTGGACGTTTGTTCTCCGTTTGACTAGTAAAATTACTTTAAGGTGAGTAAAAAAAAAAATTTATTTAGAAGGTAGTTTCGTTGAAATTTAAAGATTGTTTATTTATTTTAATTTTTAACATTATCAGCAATTGTCCTTGTTTTCATGTCACTGGCTATATATGCCTGATGGAGGACTCACATATTATTTTGAAGAAATTATTGTAAGGGAGAATCATCTGTTTATATGCTTAAGTCTGTCCAATTAAGTTATTTTCGCTTTCACAATCCAAAGTTCATTTTTAGAATAGTGTTATGATCCAAATTTAAGTATATTCTAATTAATCGTAAATAAGTTTAGTCAAATTGATTAGTGAATTGTATCAAAAACTAAATAGGTTTCAAAATGTCAATTTTAAATGAATTTTAATTAAGTCAGTCACAAGCAAACACACACATAACAACAACAAAAAAGTTTTTTCTATAGTTCACTAAGCCAAAGGAAAATGTTTGGTAGCGCAAAATTTTGTAGTTCAAATAGCTCAAATCTGTCAAAACGACATCGTTTTACACTCATTTACACTCAAAACAACATCGTTTTGAGTGATTTGAGTCACAAAATTTTAAGCTACCTAGCATTGTTGCTGAGCCAAATTACAGAGCTTAAAAAGGTAACGAAGTTTCAAAATGCATTCGATACACACAAAGAAGCTGTAGAGAGAGAGAGAGAGAGAGAAAGAGAGTTGAATTTAAAAAGAATGTCTTCAATGTTAACCATGTAACCCGTACTGATAATGGTACAACACAACCCCAAGCAACTCTCTCTGAGTCTCAGCTGAAGAAATTTTCTGAACATGGAAATATATTATCATCACAGTAAATATAACTCATTCCACAAGTATACTCCATGAAAGAATGGGCTATATAATTATACATATTGTACAAATGGGTACATGTGATAACAACACTAGTTTGCGAAGAGACTAGATCCTTGGCCCTTGCTATATTCGGAGTTGTCTGAGAATAATAATTCTTTGCGAATTCGATCAGCGAGTCCTGAAGTTTCCTGGTCTAATTTTAGAGGACACCTAGGCAAACTCTGTAGATTTAAATTTTTAGATATCCCATCAGGGTGAGTAAAAATTTTAAAAAAGAAAAAGAGAAACAAATCTAGGATACCTCAGAGCTCCACAAGCAATCACGTGCCTTCCGAGGAATTATATGAAGATGAGTCTAGACGAAGAAGAAGAAGAAGAAGAAGAAGAGCAAATGCTAATCAGTTCCCTCAACAAAAAAACAGTAGCCACTCCATTATTTGTACACAAACAAATTAAAGTCTCGTAAACCTTACATGAATATGAACAATACAAGTTTTAAGGTTTCACGAAAGTAAAAATGTCTTCACAAGAGCATGCAACAGCTATCTTGTCAAGTATGAAATGGTTGAACAAAAAGTGTCCATGTCACATCAAATGCAAATTAAATTCAAATATCATAAAACTTACATGAAATATGACTTGGCCAGCAGCTGCACCATTGTTAACCAACAAGTTGAATGAATCTGCACCGTTCAAACTTCATATAAATTGAAGTTCATAATAAGGTGGTTAAAGAATTTTGGCGATACAATTGACCAAAGAAAGTGCCATCCAAACTATTCTAAACGAGGAAGGAATGATTTCAATGACTATGAAACTACTAGTAATTAGGCTTGTAAGTTTCACCTTCACTTGAAACATCACCTGTACGAGCCATCAAATATGTATTTCAGATTCATCAACTAGTTTTTATTCGTAAATCATCATTACTCTCTCCCTGTTTCCCCTTTTGCCTTTCCATTGGTAGTGAAATTTGTTGAAAGCAACTGAAAAAGGGTGCTCAGATTTTATTCTTATTTCGAGTGCCTCATATTTGGGCTTTTATCTATGTAAATCTTTTTTCTGATAGACTCAACGCGATCCAACCCAACAATATACCTCCCCTGTCATCCATGATTAAGAATTGCATACATGCAATCCATCACAACATAAACTAAAGAACCATGATTACATACCACAGCCAGTAGCTTTCATAACCGCATTGCTAATAAAAGGTACTTTTGAGCACATGGCACCGACTGCCTGCATCACACATAAACTACATTAGGTATATTAAGAATCAATCATGTACTTCTATGAAATATGAACTAAAGAAATATAGGAATGTGATCACTTCCTTCAACAAAATATGATTGTATTTTGTGCACAAACACAAAAAGATATACGAAGTATTGTTCGTACTCGTATACTTTCCGGTTTAAAATAAGATTTAACCAGCCACAAAATTTGAATAATTGGAGTTATGATTTTCCTTATAATACAGTGGGAATTTCTTGCTCTTACTTGTTTTTGTTACACATAGATATATAATAATAATAATAAATAAAAAATAAAAAAACAATGCACAAATAGTACATATTAATGAGTGTTTGGGAGGGGAAAGATTGTGCATAGTTTACAAAGTGGTTGTCCCGAGATTTGAACCCATTACGTCAAGGTTATTAGTTCAAGATGTTACACATTGATATACATAATAATAATTTGGAATTGACCAATATTGCCCTTCCAAAGTAATCCTGTGAAATTTTATATCATGATATGGCATATGTCCACATCATGAAGACACAACAATAACAATTGAGTATGAAGAATAACCATGATTGGATCAGCTAGACAGACGGTTAAGATCTGGATTACATGATGCAGACTAATTACACACGTGAACAAAACTTACAGAAGGTGGAGTTGCTCGCAAGGAAGAAAAATGTGACTTTGGGATTATAAGAGCATGCCTATAAAACAAATTATAGAAGAATCAGTGGATGATAATTTTAAGTAATAGAATAATATACAGAAAATAAAAACGAATAGCTAATATTTATGGATACCATAAAATAATGACGACATTTGTAAGAAATATTCCTAAGAACCATATACGAAGGGCGGGCCTAGCATAGCAGTAAATCTACCCCTTGGTGACCTGGAGGTCACGGGTTCGAGTCACGAAAATAGCCTCTCCACTTAAGGGGGTAAGGTTGCGTACATCAACCCTTCCCCAAACCCCGCTTAAGCGGGAGTTTCGTGCACTGGATACGCCCTTTAATCCTAAGAACCATATACACGCGAGATGACAATCTTAAACGATTTTAGCACACTAATCTCTAATGCTAAAAACAAAGGCTGTGTTTGGTTTAGGGGTGAAATCATAATTCCACCTTCCTATTTCAATGCTGTGTTTAGATATAGTTTTCAAAAATTGATTCCACACCCACGTTTGAAAAAAAAAATTCAAAACATGTTTAGCAGAGTGATTTTGGAATTTTAAATTTTGAAATTAAGTCTACCCGGTCGTCGGCTCGGATATCCTCCCGGACAATTTTTGAACTTTTGGGTCTACCTAGTCGTCCTTTCAGATGTCTGGCCGGTTGACTAGAATAGTTTTTGGTTTTTTTTTTTTTTTTTTTTTTTTTTTCACCTGTTATTTTTATATTTTAAATAAAAAATATTTTCGTAATTTTTTAAAATTTTTTATAAGTTTTGAATAGTATTTTAGATTGTGTGTTTGGTTATGAGTTGCAAGTTTTTGAATCAAATATCATATGTCACATCATTCATTTCAAACTCAATTTAAAACTCATAACCAAATAAAATTTTCATACTCAAATCATAATTCCAAAACTCATAAACTCAAAATACAACTCTATTATCAAATTATAATTCTAAAACTCTACCAAACGTTACCAAAAATTTTAATACAACGGAAATATCATATTATTATCGAATTGTGATATAATATATTGATAGGGCTATAATTCCCAAAAATAGCTAATGAAATTACAATCCCAGATATGGCTGCTATTTTGATATGGCTATAATTCTTCCAAATAATATATTGGAAGTAGAATGTCACCTCTACTGTTGGAAAATTTGATGGTCATCGTGTCTTCAAAATCTGGAGTTCAACCTGTCTTCGAAAGCTTCTACAAAAAAAATGATTACTCTAAGTCACACTACTACGACGTCACTTTCTTAAAAACGATATTTGTTTCATTAAATGGTTATGCAGCGGGTCAACAATAGATTTGCCTCCAATATACAATAAAGTTTACTCTAGGGATTAAAACTACTGATGTCTGCACAGACGACACTAAATCAAAATAATCTTAATATAATAAAAAGAATCAAGATAGTGATAATCAAGTCTACAAAAAATGATTATCAAAAAAAAAAAAGAAACAAAACAAAAATAAAAACAAAAATATGCTTTGGAAACGTATTTCCAGTGAACAGTTACGATCAAACCGCTCCAGATCGGACACGCAGTTATACGATTAGTCGGTTAACTCACTACCAATGTACACCACGTCACTGCCACACGTAGCTAACCATGTCACCATGCCATCGTCGTAACCTTTCTGTAGAAGGGATGCACATCCTTACGGTGTGAGCATATTAGCATTCATACCACTATTCAATATTCAAAAGAATATATTGGGTAACTTTTTATTTAGAACTTCATCTTTTACTCTCTTTCTAATATGGGACAAATTTCCAAAACTTGTTTCAAGTTTTCCCAAGGAATAAGAAAGGTTCCCGAACATCTACTAGTTCACCTGATACTAGCACAAAATGATAGACCTTAGTATTTGGTTCACTGGGATCAAATGTAAAATAATAATCATTCTATTAAAATATCCATTCTCATAGTTTGTTAGACTAAAAAAATAATGACAACTGTATTACAAATAAAATCATCTTTTACCATTTTAAGAGAATAATCATATCATAACAAAGTTATGTTGTGTTTGGTTGGGGGATTTGGGGAGGGATTTGGAAAGAAAAATGGAAAAGGTAGGTGAAATGTAAATAAATCATGCCTATATTTCACATAGTTTCACACACCTTTTCCTTTTCTCTTTCCAAATCCCTCTCTAAATCCCCCAACCAAACACAGCATTAAGGAATTATTATTCCATTCAATTCCATCTTATTTTAATAAACCAAGTAGAGTACAACAATTTGAATAATATTATGCTATTGAAACATTTGAGATTTTTGGGGTGCCACATAACCTTTCTCTAACAGAATCCAAAAGCTTATGGGATTGTCAATAGATTCAGACAAAAATAAAATAAAATAAAATAAAATAAAAAATTGAGATTCTTAGAATGTAATATTTTTTTAACAAAAAATAATATATATACATATTTTTTTTTAATATTTTAAATAAAAATATATTTTCGAAATTTTTTGAATTTTTTAAATAAAAAATTTATTTTTTTGAATTGAATTTAAAAAAGAATTTGATTATGAGCTTTAAATAAAATTTTCAATAGAGTTTTGAATTATGTGTTTGGTTATGGGTTATAACTTTTTGAATTAAGTTTTAAAAAATCTTTTCAAAACTCATAACCAAACAATTTTTCTTATTTCAAGACTCAATTAAAAAATTCAAAACTCAATTAAAAATTCAATTCAAAACTCATAACCAAACAAATTTTCTCTTCTCAAATCATGATAACAACTCACAAACTCAAAATACAACTCCATTCTCAAATCACGATTCTAATACTAAACCAAATGCTATATTCTACTGAAAGCAGAAGATGTTCTTCGTAAAAAGCCAAAAAATCATTCCAAGCATACTAATTTTTTTTAGCTCATATTTTAGCCAAATAGCCAAAAAATTACTAAATTACCCTGTTCCCAAACGAGGCCTAAGTAATAAACCACTACTTATCCAAAAAAATAATGAACCACGAAAAACATAAAAGTAGACATTGTAGCCAAGTTATTGAGACCAGCGTAGCACTGACAAGGACAGACTCCTGATAGGAAACCTAAGATCATGACTACTCACATTAAAAGAGAACTCGAAACAAAAAAGAAAAAGCAGACTTGTATAGCATTGCAAATATATATAGATGATACCTTACCCATGACTCACTGGATTTTTGTCCAAAATGCATAGGCATATGTCATCTTCATAAAGCTGCAATCAAATCAAGTTAAATGTATAAAATGATCAAGGTTTAAAAAAAATCATATTTTCACATCAGACCAGCAATGAAGGCATAAACATCATTCTTAATACAAAGGAATTAGATTGAAAAACAATTCATGAGCAATTCATGAGCATATAGAAAGGAGCAACTTCTAAATAATAAAAACCAAATTTCTTTGAATTGAGCCAAGCTTCTAACATTTTTTGGGGTTGTCTAGAAATTTCAAGAATCTGAAGATAGTATATTCATTTCCCACGGTCATGTTAAAACCTGTGAAGCTCTCATCAGTTTGCTATATGAACAACATGTTGATTTACTGAAACTACGCCCTCACGTGTGTCCTAAGAATCCGGACTTCTAGACCCACAAGTGATTGTGGAAGCGGAACCTAATAAGCATATGTTGTTACATCAAGAATGGATGAGATTGCTCAAGAGAATGCCAGTCCCTAGAACCTGGTTTTGATCCAAGTAGTAATTTTTTTATCTTTATCTTGTAGGCTCAAAAACATACTCTGGAGATTCCCACAACCATTCATCATATTAAAGAAACCAACACACATCAGATCATAAACAATGCAAGTTGTGCTTTTACCAATCAATCACCAACATCAACAGAAGTGGAAACCTAACTGATAGAACATAAACCCGATAAGGAAGATCAAATTAGTCCTTTTAAAATACTTAAACCACAAAATTTAAAATGCATTAAAATGTAATTCTTTAACAATCAGTAATGGCATTATACTAGATGATTGCAATGAGACAATGTTCCGAGTCATGCATGGTGTCTTATCTTCTTCACAGAACTGCCATGGGTACAAAGTACACATTATTCATATGCTAAATTACAATTCAATAAAGACCACACACACACACACACACACACACACACACAAGGCAATTAGATCCTAAATTTAACAAATGAAAAAAGAGTCAAAAAATCAGAAGAGCAAGATTGAAAAATGACCAAAACTATCAAATTCAATATCAAACACGCGAACATCACAAAAACCCAGAAAAAATAATCATCCACAACACAAACCCAAGTGTATAAAGAAATTAAATTGCTAAACGAGCAAAATTAGAAATTCAATTGGAGAGAGAGGGAGAGACCTTGAAAGCGGGGGATTCGCCTCGAATAATCTGGCAGAAAACGCAGTCAGATTGTTGTTGAGTTCCCTTGTCGCCATCGGAACTGGAAGCTGAATTCGAATCTGAAACGCATGAAAAGGGTTTGAGGGTCGAATTTTCAGGAGAATCGATTATTGGGCGGAGGTGGGAAGAGAGAAGGGCCAGACGGCGACGTGCCTCCATATTTTAACAGGAAATGGAATGCTTTTTATAATATGGGGGGGTTTAGTGGTGCGGACTTGCAGTGGGTCACCATACGATGTGAATTGAATTCAGAGATAGCCTCGAAGCTTTTTTCAGCTCTCTCTGTGGTTGGGTTATGGAGAAAAAGGGTTGATTGCTGTTGCAGACTGTAGCAACGCGGTTGGGTTGGGTTTGGGGGTCGTGTGGTGTGGTGTGCTTTATCCACAGAGATCAGTACCCGACGTTTTCAGGCGTTTGTTTGGATATGAAAAAACTGAAAATTATACAATAGTTCCGTACTATCACCTGGTCCATTTGACAATAGTGTATTTTCGTTGACTATTTAGGCTAGCATTTTCTCTATTTTTTTTTTCACATTTTTCGTAAATTATTTAAATCATCTCCTCTTAATCCTTTTAACTATTTTAATTTGACTAAAAAAAAATTATATTTTGAATGATATTTAGCATTTTTTAGTTGATTTGATGGTTTTAAGAAAAAAAATAAAAATATTATAAGTTAGATGTGACATTTTACCTTATAATAATGTTAGAGACCCACATTTTACATTCATAAATACATCTACAATGATATAAAAAAGATCAACAATGCTAGAGGGACACAATTTTTGTGGCCACAATGGTTCAAAACTGCCAAAACGACGTCGTTTTGACAAGTTTTACACCCAAAACGACGTTGTTTTGACAGTTTTAAGTCATTGTGGCCACAAAAATTGTGGCACTCAAACATTTTCCAAAAAAGATAGTAGATCTCATATAATTAAGTGTATGACTAATTAAATAATTTTTTCCCATTCCTCCTTCCCCATCCCCCATGGGTACTACCTTCTCCATCCCTTAATGGGTTTAGATTTTCCCCAACACAACTTGGCATTTTTTTTATTTTTTTTTCAAGAGTTCACAACTAAAGCTAAATATACATTCAATTTTATTTTATTTGGCTCAATAATAAAATCAAATACATATTAATTAATTAATCAAAAAATTTGTTTTAAAATAATCAAATATATAATGTTGAAACAATCAAATAAATTTTTAGTAATTAAAAGAAAAAATGTGATTGAAAAAAAAAAAAGAGTAAAACTTTTATAATTTTACTAACATTGGCTCTTTCTTTGGCTAAAGCGAGGCTTCAAGTGGCAGTAGATTCCTTAGAAGCCGCGAAGGAAGAAAGAGTGATTTAGAACTTATTTGGAATGTGGGTTGGATTTTTAACTTTTTAATTTTTTGATTATTTTAACTTGAGATTAAAAAGTCTCGTTTATGATAGATTTTTTTGACTTTTGTAAGAGAAAAAAATGAAATGATTATGAATTGGATGTGACGTTTTGTCATATTTAACTAAAATAGTCAATTTTGTCCTATATAGCTATTTTAGCCCAAAGTGATATCTCAAATGGAGAACATGAAAGTGGAGGGGAAGAATCGAATATATTAAGGAAAGATGAGGGAGTAGTCTTGGTTGCTTCGGATGATATTAGAGTTTGTTAAGCTACTTTGACAATTCTGGGACAGAGTTGAGACAATTTCAAAGCAGAAAAGAGGAATTGCAAAAAGAAGTGGACCGACTAAATGAGATTACAAAGAAAGTGGAAATGAATGTTTTAAAAGTAAAGGACAATGCGGCAAATGTCATGCATTTAGCAAAGCAAGCTGTGAGAATGAGAATCCTAATTCTAAATAGGATAGTGAAAACATATGGAGGAAATGGGCGGATACTCATCCCTGACCCATTCTTAATGGATATTTAAAAAATACCTCTTACCTAACCCGATAGGTAAAGCAAAAAAAAAATCCATATATTTGAATGGGATATCCATGGATACCCATAAGGTAGGATAGATCCCATTGAGGGCTCCCCTTCTTATCTTTATCAATAATTCTAATCTTGTAAGGTTTGTGTGGAAAACTATTGATATCAAAATTTTAAATTAATTAATATGATTAGATTATTTGTTTTAAAAAATATAAATAACAAAAATAATTTAGAACCTTACAATTCGAATGGTTGAGACGAATCCAGAAGGCAGCCTGGAAAGAAATCATCAAATTTCATTCTAGAAAGTTGAATTCACTTTTTAAAAGACAAGTTTTTTACTTTATATTTTTTTTTAGTGAATTTTTTAATATTTTAGGGAAAAAAAATTTAAATATACCTAATCTAAATATACGTATAATATTTGTGAAAATAAATTTAAAAATTTTACCAAATACAAAAACTACAAAAAAAATATATACAAAAATTTAATATATTTTCATATTTTGTTATATTCAATGATTTTTTAACAAAATTTATACAAATTTTTTACTTTTTAAATAAATTAAAATTAAAGAAAATTTGTGATAAATCCAATCTAAGTGTATAATATATGCAATCCAATGAATATTTTTTTATTGGTGAAAGATCCACCTTTTATGAAATAGTTTGGCGATAAATCTTTTTGTTTATTTTGAATGACATTTTGTTTTTAATTTTACCTTTAATATATCTAATTGACTTTTTTCATCTGTTAACTATCTATTCAAATTTTTTCTTATCTGTCCAAAAAAAATTCATTTTTGTTCAATTTTCTTACTTATCTGTTTAATTTTTTAAACTTTTCAATTCAAATTTCTCATATCTATTTAAATATTTGTCCAAATAAAATTCTATCTCTAAATTTATTACCTACAAAAAATAATTGAACAGATCTTGATTTACCTGATGCAATTTGTTTTTTCATTATCATCCACAACAACAACAACTACAACAATAATAATAATAATAAACAACTAAAAAAATAAAGATTTGTTCACCTCAGATCGGCCGTGACCTTCTCCATAATATATGAAATCCAGTGAATATATTTTTTTTTTGTTAGTGAAAGATTCACTTTTATGAAATAATTTGGTGAAAAATATTTTTGTTTGTTTTGAATAACATTTTGTTTCTAATTTTACCTTTAATATATCTAGTTGACTTTTTTTTTCATCTGTTGACTATCTGTTCAAATTGTTTCTTATCTTTCCAAAAAAAATTCTTATCTGTTCATTATCTGTTTAATTTTTTACACTTTTCAATTCAAATTTCCCATATCTATTTAAATATTTGTCCAAATAAAATTCTATCTCTAAATTTATTACTTGTTCAAATTTTTTGACTTGTTATTTAATTTTTTTCCCTCATCTATTCAAATATCTGAACAAATTTGATTATCTGTTGAAATTTATATGTTAAAGAGGAATGATCTGTTCAAATAACCTTTTCAAAAAATGTATGACATTATTTGTTAAAAAATATATCTGTTGCAAATCTATACGTTCAAGTTCTCTCTCTCTTGCCATTATTTATAAAATAAAATTCAAATTCAACAACAAAAAAACAACTAAAAAAATAATTGAACAGATCTTAATGTACCTGATGCAATTTGTTTCTTCATCATCATCATCCACAACAACAACAACAATAATAATAATAATAAACAACTGAAAAATAAAGATTTGTTCATCTCAGATCGGTGACCTTCTCCATAGATCCAGATCTACCACAACAACAATAAAGTCATGGACGATTCACACAACTCTCCAAACTTCAGCATCAGCTTTGTAAAACAATCAAATCCACTTCAATACTCCAATTCCTCCAAAATTTCAAACATATAAAACACATATTAAAAAAAATCAACCTGTCGTCGGTAGGACGACGGAGGATTTAGCCAACGTAGCGGTGGTCGCCGGTGACTCTGGTGTTGGAGTTCATGGACTGAAGAGCTTTTAGAAGGATTCCAGTGGTGAGAGGATTTGATGAAGAACCGATGCAGACCTTCGTCAAAAGGAGAGAGAAATAAAATGGCTTTTATAGAGAGAGAGAGAGAGAGAGAGTTTGGGGGTTTGACATCTGAGATCTGTCGATCCGCCAAGGAGCAACGTCGGAGGCGACAGTGGAGAGGTAGCGAAAACGGCGGTGGCTAGCGTTGTGCCTGGGCGCCAAACACCTTCTATGCAAGAGTGCATACGAGCTCTGGCTTTCAAGTTCTTGGCTGATCTGGTATTAGAGTAGGTGTTTGCGTTAGTCCTTCCAGCAGCGGCGAACAGCGGAGCATTGCAGAGCCAATGCAGGTGAGGAAGTCGACGGTGATGGAGCCAATCGAGATCTGACTCACGATTTCTCTGCCTTCTTCACTGATCTCTCTCTCTCTCTAGGTTTCAAAATCTCTCTCATTTTGTTCCATGTGGTTGTCCTAATCGACATACTCCCTCCAACTCAAAATAATGGGTCATTTTAGACCATCTTCAATAATCCATCATATTCATCATTAAATTTAAATTTAGTAAAAAAGAAATACTTTTTGTATTCTAACGGCTTCATCAAAATAGTATCAAATTGAGAAAATATTTCACCAAATTGAAGATCGCTTGCATCTTTCAACAATTTACTGTGTATAGCTGTTGAATGTAACCCACCAGACGACCGACCGAACATCTAACCGGACGTCCTCCCGAATGACCGCCTCAAACAAAATTTTGTGAAAATTTTACACTAAGAGGTTGACCCCACGGCGGTGGCTAGCGTTGTGCCTGGGCGCCAAACACCTTCTATGCAAGAGTGCATACGAGCTCTGACTTTCAAGTTCTTGGCTGATCTGGTATTAGAGTAGGTGTTTGCGTTAGTCCTTCCAGCAGCGGTGAACAGCGGAGCATTGCAGAGCCAATGCAGGTGAGGAAGTCGACGGTGATGGAGCCAATCGAGATCTGACTCACGATTTCTCTGCCTTCTTCACTGATCTCTCTCTCTCTAGGTTTCAAAATCTCTCTTATTTTGTTCCATGTGGTTGTCCTAATCGACATACTCCCTCCAACTCAAAATAATGGGTCATTTTAAACCATCTTCAATAATCTATCAAATTCATCATTACATTTAAATTTAGTAAAAAAGAAATTCTTTTTGTACTCTAACGGCTTCATCAAAACAGTATCAAATTGAAAAAATATTTCACCAAATTGAAGATCGCTTGCATCTTTCAACAATTTACTGTGTATAGCTGTTGAATGTAACCCACCAGACGACCGACCGAACATCTAGCCGGACGTCCTCCCGAATGACAGCCTCAAACAAAATTTTGCGAAAATTTTACACTAAGAGGTTGACCCCCTGGTCGACCACCAACAATTAATAACTTTGCTTCCTTAACATGTCCATATCTACTCAACAAGTCCACGATAAGAACATAGTGATCCATGTTTGGTTCAATCCCATAATTT